CTATGCTGAGTCCGAAAATCCACACTGGAGAGCGCGAAAAAGGCGAAAAAAAAGGGCTCTAGACGCAGCGAGTAGGGGGAGTATCCTCCCCACTGTGGATTCGCACTCCCAGCTTCCGTTGCAATTTTCTGGATCCCGCTAGCCTAACATCTTCACTAGCCAAGTGCGAGCGCGTGATCTGAGATGGAACCGAGAAGGTCGCTCCGGAAGCTGGGAGCTCAAAGCCACAGTGGGGAGGACCTCGCCCACCGCTACTTCCCCTCTCCGTTAAAGCCATTTTCGCCATTTTCGCGCTCTTCAACGTGGATTTTCGGATTCCGCATAGCGAATAGACCCGGGTAAGCACAAAATCTCAAAATTGACTTTTTGAGTGGACACTGCCTTTAAGTAAGCTAGAGTGGTTTTTGTCCGGACACTGCCTTTAGATAGCGTGAACTCTGCCCGAGGCCTAACAGTGTGTCAAATGAAGAACCTCTGCAAAGCGGTTCCGATTTGGAATGGTGAGCTTCAAAGCGATACAATAGGACTTGAATTAGGATCGCGACCATACTTTCTGGGGCCCCTGCACCCCGCGAGATGCTCGAGCGCAGCTTTCGCTCTCGCTTCGCAATGACAAACCATGGGACTGCTTGAGAAGTACAGACATGTTGAGAAAAAGTAAGGAAAAGCAAGATATGTACAGTCTGTGTCAACCATGCTTTCTTTTCCGCAGCAACTACGCATCGCGGAGCGCGAATATTGGGCAGCCGTCTCCGATCGATGCGGCAACTCAGAACGCTGGAGTCGCGTACACCTGCGAACTGACGCGGCACTCTAGCGTTGCGCGTGAGCTGATCAGAAGGTGAGCACACGATTGACGCGGCCTGTATCGATAAATGTGCCGTATTTCATTTGCTAACTGTTGTAAATTCAAAAACTACAAAGAAACGAAAAAAGGATGAAGCTGGTGATAGGAAGTCTCACCTCTACAGGCTCAGCAACCAACAACTTCATCTTTAGTCGCGAATATGTGGAGGAGTCGATGAACTCGTTTATTTCTATGTCAGCCTGGCGAAGATCCATAATGGCTAGTCCAATATGGCCTTTCGTGCTACCACGACCTTCAATCACTGCTGAAATCAACAAATTTTTCCTTCCACAGCTATCGCTACAAACTGCTCTCACTTTGAAGCTTCGCAAAAAGCAGCAGTCACACAAAAAGTTTCACTCACCAACGATCGCAAACTTCTTGTCTGTAGTGGTGTTCTTTGAGGAAGGAGTATAAGGAGTGTGAGACGCGTTTGTCGTATGAAAACGATATTTTGCTTGATTTCTTTTACTGAATGTTGAAGAAAGATCCACAACATTGGAAGTGGATAGTGACTGCGACGTGGAAGACATCCTGGAAGTCTTTCATAGAATAGTCAAAATTTTAGCAGTATCGTTTAGGGAAGTACGTCGACTTTATATAGTCGAATCAAAACATGCAGAAGCAGGGCGCCAACGCAGGCAAAACGCTGAAAATAGCGCCTGTTTCAAGAGAGAAATTCTGATTAAATCGTTTGCTCACAAGACGCACCCGGATGAAATTGGCGCAAAAGCGGCTATCACATTTTGACTAACAGTCTCAATTGAAGCCAGGCCGAAACATTGCGAAAACATGCGCGCTTAGCGCTAAGAGTTCCTTCATAGTACGCCGCAGGCTGCGGCAGTCTCGGCAGTCCGTACGCAGTAGCCTGTCGCGTCCTGCGGCTTGCGCCGCTGCAATCATAGTGCAAATTTCATGCCAACGCAGCTTCACGGTTCACGTTCGCTGTCTTTGGGAGTGTTTCTTTGAAGTACGTAAGATCTTCGTCCATTTTACCTTGTATAATTATGAATTTAATGGTTCCACACTGAGCTCGTGTGCGCTCTTGATTCCACCAGACTTGCTGCGCTTCAATTTGCATTTCATGCATGTAGAATCTGATGAAGCAACAAATCAGACTGCAAAAATCTGATACTTCGTGAGTGGCAACAGATAGGATAACGCGTTGAAGTTATATATTGAAAACAAACTGAAGCAAACAAGTTTGGTGAAAT